CCTCAGGCCTGTTGTGCGGAGGGAAATAGCTAAGCCAGATGAAATGCTGGTAACAGTGACTGCTCTTATCATGTGGGGTTTCCGGGCTTCTAGATGGAGTTTCTTTTTGCCCGCATGGGAAATCGGGGGGGGGGGGGCAGGTGAGGACAGTCCATGTATGTAGGCCCCGGGCTTTCTCTTCTGAGGGCAGGTATGTACTCTTTCTGGGATGCCCCTGGATCCACCCAGATCCCAGCAAGGGCTGGAGGCTTGTGGAGGGCTGCCTTATGGAGGGTGAAGGCACTGTTGGGTGCGGAGGCATCCCTGCCATCCAGGGAGGAACAAGGCCTTGGAGGGAGCACTGGTCCAGGATCTGATACTCAGCCAGGCCCTGGCCATTTGAGTCAAGTCCACTGATCACCCCATCACGGTGGAAGAAAAGGTACTGCAGCCATTTGCGGTCTTTTAAGGGAATATTATGTAGATTAAGCAAGAAATGGGCATCAATGCACTTTGTAATGAAAGCAAAATTCAGGACAATAATGGTGAAGGAAAAAACCTGTATCATCTCTGCTAGGATGGAAAGGGGGATGCCTGGGACTTAGGGGGTTTGGGGTTGGGGAATTGCTCCTTGACCAGAACGCTGCCCTTCTAGTTGGTGACTTGAGGCAGGAGCAAGCCTCAAACTTGAGGAGGTTCTCAGGGCTCCAGTCCTGCCCTGGGTCCTCCAGCTCTGGGATGGGCAGGTGATGGATGTAGGGATGTGGGCTGCCCAGGCCTTAGTCCCCAGCTCAGACTGGGGGAGCTGCAGGCTTGGGCCTCCAGGAGCCAGGCCAACAGATGAAGCAGGAAGAGCAGCTGCAGGCCTGGCTGACTCCAAGGGCCTGAGGAGGAGGAGGCAGCGGGTCCAGGAAGCACCCAGTTTCCTGTCCCAGAAGCTTGGACCTTCCATTCAGGAGGTGCAGAGAGAAGGGGGCACTTGTCCTGCCTGCCTGAGGGAGAAACTGCGCTCTGGTCCCCACCAAAGGCCCACGCAACCCCCCAACTTCCTCTGCAGGTGGGCAAGGGGATGGGGAGCGGTCCAGGTGTGCTCTCCTGCCTGGGGGAGCCAGGCCTCTGGAGGGGCCCATCCCGAAGTGCCTCTGTGCTTTGGGTTCCCAGATGGGCTGCAGCAGCTGCCAGAACCAATTCCAGAAGTCCTCCCCTCCCCTCCCCTCGCCCACCCCCACACACGATCCCCGCTTTGGAGACACAGTGGTTGGGGGGAACTTTGAGGGGCTCCCCAGGGCTGAAAGATGACCAGGGCCCAAGGATCCACAGCTGGGCGATGCTTGTTGCTTAAAGAGAAGCTCTCTTTGTTCTGGCGTTTTACCAAGTGAAGAGCAAAACCAAATTTTTTCTCATCAAACTTTTGCTGGCACAAAAGCAGCCAGACCGGCTCCTGGAGCCCCGTGTCCTTGTGTCAGGTCTCCTCGCCCTTTCCTTTCGGCTGGGACTGGCGATGGCCTCTGGGAGGCCCCGCATTTGGCTGGAGAAGGTTCTGGGGCACCGACCGTCCACCGCGGGGTCTGCAGGCCCCAGAGGCATCACTCCCCACCCCTGCCTGCTCTCCGGAGCCGGTTTTCCTGGGAAGCGAAGCGACTCCAGCAGACGGGATCGGCGCTTGTGGTGGCCCAGGCCCGGCTTTCGATTCCATTTAACTCGCCGTCAGCACCTTATCTCCGCGTCGCCTCCCGGGGTCCCCACCCCTCCCCCGCCCGTCCCCGCCCCGGAGGAAGCAGAGCTGCGGGCTTTTGAAGTCCGAGAATTTCAATCCCAGAGGAGCCGCCAGGACCTACGCTGTCACCCAGTGGGGAGGGGACAGCAGGCCAGCTTCGCGGGCAGGGGTCCTCCCAGCCCAGGGAGGTGAGAAGCGTTGGGGGCTGGGCCAGCCCCCGCTCCGGCTGCTGTATCACCCCCTCTCCAATTCCAAGGGGCTGCCCAGATCTGGCGGCTGTCTGCCACGCTCCCTCTATGCATTTACCCTCCTTCGCGATCCGCGTTGGGAAAAGCCTTCCATTCAGTGATAACCACGCTATTAAAATACCCCTAAGCCAAAAAAAGTCCTCAGAAAGTGTTTTCACCTAGTCTCTCCCCCCTCCCCCAATTTTCTTTTCCTCGAGCTACAAACCCCATCTCTCTTCATCTGATGTTGACGACAGGATGCTGTGGGAAGTGACTTTTGGTTACATTTTCCCTCCTGTGCGGGCTTGCAATAGGCCCTAAGGACCCGGGAAACTGAGGCTGGAGTGGGGAGGGGTGGGATGGAAGTGGGGCTGGTCCTTGAAGCTTCACATCCCAGCTGGGAGGAGGCAGCCCCCTCCCCAGAGAGGCTGTATCTGGCCTGGAGCCTCCTTCCTCCCAGCGGCCGGGGAAGCCCCCTCAGTGGGGCCAACCGGGAAGATGCCAGTGACACCTCTTGATCTCTCAATCCCGCCGCTTTCATCAGCAGAAAGGCCCCAGCAGAGGATCAAACGCGCAGCGCTCCCCTGAATGCAAAGCGGGCGGGAGGAGCCTGATCCTTCTGAGGAGGCCCCACCTGGGTGAGCTGGGGGGGGGGGGGTGCTCTTCGAGAAGGGGGAGGGCCCTGGGGGAAGGAGAGGGTGGGCGACCCAGGCCCAGCCTAGGGAGGGCCCCACCCAGGGTGGGTAACACGCCCTCCCACACAGATGCTGGGGCCTGACTGTGACAGGAAGGGGCTAGGGCAAGCAGATGGTCCCCAGGCGCTCTGGTCCCCAGGCGCTCGCGGCTGGCTGGGAAGGGAAGGGCAGACAGATCCCCAAAAAACCACCGCAGCAAAAGGCTCTGGGAGCTGATCCCCTCCACTCCCAGCCACTCCTCTCACCTTGTAAACATCCCCAGGATCTGGGGGCTGGAGGGCTCAGCAGATGGGGGCCTTGGGAGTCCCAGGGCGTGGAGAGGTCTATGCAGACACTACCACCCAAATCCCTTCCCCTGGTTAACCGGCATCTATGAATAAGGGGGAGAAGTTGGAAGTAGGAGCCAGAGGGGTATGTTCCTCTCCTTGAGCCCCTGCTTCTTCCACCTCCCCCACTAGCCCACAGGTAGGAAGACTGAGGCAGGGAGAGAGGGGAAGAGCAGAGAAAAAGAAAAAGGAGGAGGAGGAGGAGGAGGAGGAGGAGGAGGAGAAGAAGAAGAAGGAGAAGAAAGCAGGAGATTGAAAGACAAAAAGATCACCACCGAGGGACCTTTCTTTAGAATTCCAGGATTGGGGCTTTGAATCAGGGCGTGGAGAGGGGCAGCCTCAGTGGTTTAGCGCTAGGAGGGCTGAGGAGTGCGGGAAGGAGAGCTGTGGGGCCGCAGTTCCGGGGAGGCCTGCCTCTCACCCTCACCTGCCTGGCCTGGCAGCTTGCTCCGAGCTGGCGCTGTTTCCTAAAGGTTCTGGCTCCCCTTCCCCGGAAGACCTGGCGGGGAACCTGTGGGGGCTACTCCTAAAGGCACCATTCGATTCCATTTAACTCACCAAGTACAACACGCCCCGCCCCAGCTCTGCGTGGGAGTCCCCTCCTGTCCTCAAGGACTCATAAGAGCACCCAGTCACTTGCTCTTTCTGGGCATTTTGGGTGACGTCTCTTTCAGGACCAAAGGCAGGGGAGGGGGGAACCCTGTGAGTGGAACCTCTGCTGCCCAGTACTGCCGCCCACGCTTGCTGCGCCCCTGCCCCAAGGCTCTGGTGAGAGCCGTGCCTTCGGGCAGCAGCCTCTGGCACGGCCACTGGAGGGGCCGCATTAGTCGGCGCCTCTTCCCTTGAAAAACCTGTTTTGGGGGGAATTCGTTGACTCTGAATGAATACCTTAAACTACGGGTGAGAAGAGGCCACTCTCAGAACCGCTCCCCACCCTACATACCTGAGGTGCAGGCGAGGCCCCAGCAAGTGGGAAAGCGATTTCTTCTACGAAGGAGCGCGCCTGGAGGTCAAGCCGGGCAGTAGAAACCTCAGGCCACCTAGAAGGGGAGGGGAAATTAAAAAAAGAAAGCAAATACTATGAGTCAGCAGCCTAGGCGGGTCTTTAAAGAAAAAATTTAAGACATTTATCTCCAGCCCCGTGGGGAAGAAAAATAGCAAAGGTTGTTCCCAGGAGGAGGGAGATAGCTAGGTAGGGATGGGAGGAGGAAGAGAGGAGAGGACACCCCAGGTTCAAGCTCTCCAGACAGCTCGGGGAGGGCGGACTATGTTGTTCGGTAGCTTGTACAGAGACTCTGGAGCCGTGTGAGGTTAGCTCGCCAGGGACCGGCGGTTGTAATAATGCCCGGAGCAGCGAGCCTTGTGACTCGGCCTTCAGACCCCTAAAATAGGGTTATGGGTTCTCTTATCTGTGTCAGATCAAGGCACCAAGCTAAGAAAACCAAAGCCGAAGCAACAATAAAAAACCTCAAACGCGTATTCAATTACCGAGCCCGCAGCCCCTGCGGTACTCGCGGCGCGCACGCAGCTCGGCTTTCTTCCTGCGGAATCGCATTTGCATCCTCTGCCTGGTGTCTCCCGCGCTCAGTGTGCGCGTCTCTCTGCTTTCACACTCTCCTCCCCATTCGAGCGAGGCCCACACCTGGCGCATCACTGCCGAGCCATTAGCTGCGGGTCTCCTTTCATCTCCGCCGTGGCAGACGTTTCTATTTATCCACTTGCGCTCGCCGAGTGGCGTCACCAGCGGTACTGTAATGACGATTGCAGCGGGAGGATGACAGCTTAGAAGAAGAGGGCAATGGGGCTTCCTCCCAGAGGCGGCGCGGCGCAGAGGAGCGGGCGCATCACAAGGTGACCCCAGCTCCCCACCGCCGCCACCGCCGCCACCGCCGCCACCGGCCACCTCGCGCTCTGGCCGCTCCGCGCCCAGCCGGCCGCCTGGCTTCTCTTTCTCCCTCCCGCGGCCAAGATCTGTCGGACCTCTGGGGACCCAGGGAGCAGGGGGGCTAGGAGCTCACTTGGGGCTTCCCCCCTCCTCCCTCCGGAGGTCTCTGGGATGGAGAGCCGAAAGGACATGGTTATGTTTTTGGATGGGGGACAGCTTGGCACTCTGGTTGGCAAGAGGGTCTCCAATTTGTCCGAAGCCGTGGGCAGCACGCTGCCGGAGCCGCCCGAGAAGATGGTGCCCCGTGGCTGCCTGAGCCCTCGGGCCGGTCCCGCGGCCTCGCGGGGGAGCCTGGAGGAGGAGCCGGTGGACGGACTAGCAGGAAGCGCGGCGGGGCCGGGCACCGAGCCGCGGGCAGCCGGGGCAGCCGCGCTCGGCCCCGGACCGCCGGCCCCCTCGGCCGCCGACAGCATCTCGGGCCAGGGGCAACCCAGCAGCTCGGACACGGAATCGGATTTCTATGAAGAAATCGAGGTGAGCTGCACCCCGGACTGCGCCACGGGCAACGCCGAGTACCAGCACAGCAAAGGTAGCCACCGCCCCCTTTCGGGCCTCCCACCGCGCCCACCTTCCACCTCAGTTCTGGAGGGAAGGGTGACTCCCTTCTCCCGGGCAGGGTGGCTGGGGGCCCACTTGAGCAGTTCGCCCCTGCTATCTGCGCCCTCGTGGGGTCTCCTGCGCTCAGGCATTGGCGGGACTGAGGGTGACAGCTATGCTTGGGTGGGTGGGTGGGTGGGTGGGGAGACGAAAGCCCTGGGATTGAGGGGGATTTAAAATGCACCCCAACCCCCCCAGAGTTTTGTGGTTCTGCTTCAACTGCCTCTGGGAGATACCTTCCCCAGGCGTGAGTGAGATCAAACGCGGGTCCCGGCAGTTTGTGGCTGGCGGGGTGTAAGGCGCATCCAGGCGCGGAAGCGGGGAGTCCATAAAAAACCGTAAAATCGAGGCTGAGCCGGGCCGCCTGGGTGCTGAGGCCCTTCGACCAGTTTGCACGTCGGTCAGAGGTCCAAATTACCTTGTCACTTCCCTGGCTCGGTGGCGCCAGGTCGGAAATGGTCCCAATGATCTAATTGCCTTTGGTCTCCGGTTGCATTTGAAAAGGCAGAGCTCTGGCCCGCCCCCTCCCCCTTTGCTTCCCAGTCCCACTTCTCCACCCAAAGGAAAAGGAGCTGCAGGGGGCAGGAGCCCCACCCTTCGCTGGGTTAGGCCCAAAGGAGGGGGCTGTCATTTGAATTGGAGACCCCCTCCCTGACCACGGGCGAGTGTGTGTGTGTGGGGGGGGGGGGGGACCGCCAGGAGGGGAGTCTCCCGAGAGGGTGGACAGCTAGAGGCCCACCAGCAGACTCCCCCACAAAGCTGCTGTGGCGGCGGGAAGAGCCAGCTATGGAGGGAAAACCACCCTGGCCTTGGCAGCCAACTCCTTGTTGAGCACTCACACTCCCCATTCCCACCTCCACCCAGACTCCCGACCGCAGCGGCCTTAGAACAGCTCCTCCACTCAGACATTCTAAGGTAACAGGGTACCAAGCACACTCCAGGCCACCTTGCAACACATGCCTCCACACAAAGCAAGAAGACAGTCATGCCAGCATCCCACAATGCACCAAGACCAGAGTTCACAGCGCCCCAGTGGATGATGCATCACAGTCTGTTTGCTCGTCAGATACCACAGCTTGCCCACTCCTGGCAACGGCCAGCTGCGAGCTCAGACGGCTGCATCTCCCCTGTGCCCGGGGCAGGTGTCTGGGGGTGGGGGGAGGGGTCTGGGCTTATCCCCGCAGGCCGTCCAGGCCTAGGCCGCTATGTGCTCCTCTGCATGGTGAGCCCTGTCCTCCCTTTCTGGTTCTTGAGGTCCCCAGCACCCCAGCAGAAGCAGTTACTGGAGGGGGACCCCTTTGCACCCCGAATCCTCAGCCCCACATCAGCAGCCTTTTTGTCCGTTGTGTTGTGTTGTGCTCTTGGCTCTGGGCTCCCTGCAGGGCCGGGCTCCGAGGCGCTGACCGGCAGTCCCCAGGGCGGCAGCGAGGCCCCCAAGAGCACCGGCGGGGGCTCGCAGGGCAGCCTGGCCTGCAGCGCCAGTGACCAGATGCGCCGGTACCGCACCGCCTTCACCCGGGAGCAGATTGCGCGGCTGGAGAAGGAATTCTACCGGGAGAACTACGTGTCCAGGCCGCGCAGATGCGAGCTGGCTGCCGCCCTGAACCTGCCAGAAACCACCATCAAGGTATGCGTTCCGGCCCGGGGAGAGGGGCGCGCCCACTGGGCAGGGAGCAAATGCCACTGCCCGGTCCCTCACGTGTGCGGGGCCAGGCACCGGGTCTGTTGGCTCCCGCCCACCTGGCGGCTGGGCTGGGGGTGCAGGCAGGTGTGGCCGCTGTACCTCCCGACAGTCCTCAGGCAGCCACCGCTGCAAGAGGTCAGCTCTGTCCCTTCCGAGCGGAATAACCAGCAGGGATGGGTGCTGCGATGCGACAAGGGAGGGTCCCAAGGGAGTGCGATTGGAGGGGGCTGTTTGTGCCACCTCAGACCCGTGGAGTCCCTGGTCCCCCACTAGCGCACTGGCGCCCGGGAGGCAGGGCGGACCCTGGGGTCTCTCTGAGCCCCTCCTGGGGGTTTCCAGCTCCAGGTGGCGGTGGGGGGATCGGCGTCGTCCCCTGCAGGGGGCAGGCCTCCGGGCCCAGCCTGCGCCTCTCCCCCGCAGGTGTGGTTCCAGAACCGGCGCATGAAGGACAAGCGGCAGCGGCTGGCCATGACGTGGCCGCACCCGGCCGACCCCGCCTTCTACACGTACATGATGAGCCACGCGGCGGCCGCGGGCGGCCTGCCCTACCCCTTCCCGTCGCACCTGCCCCTGCCCTACTACTCGCCCGTGGGCCTGGGCGCCTCCGCCTCGGCCGCCTCGCCCTTCAGCGGCCCGCTGCGCCCGCTCGACACGTTCCGCGTCCTGTCGCAGCCCTACCCGCGGCCCGAACTGCTGTGCGCCTTCCGCCACCCGCCGCTCTACCCCGGGCCCGCGCACGGCCTGGGCGCCTCGGCCGCCGGGCCCTGCTCCTGCCTCGCCTGCCACAGCGGCCCCGCCAACGGGCTGGCGCCCCGCGCCGCCGCCGCCTCGGACTTCACCTGTGCCTCCACGTCCCGCTCGGACTCCTTCCTCACCTTCGCGCCCTCCGTGCTCAGCAAAGCCTCCTCCGTGGCGCTGGACCAGAGAGAGGAGGTGCCCCTAACCAGATAAGGGGCTGCCCGCGGGCTGCCGGCTCCAGGACGCCCGGTGGGGGGGCCGGGGACTCAGCCAGCACCGCTCCCCGCCCCCTGGGCGCCGAGGGGAAAGAAGGGGCCCCGAAAAGCACCACCAGGACTCGGCCTCGAGGAGGGACTCCCGGAAGCGGCCTCGGCCGGCCCGTTGGGGCAGCAGGGGTGGGACTGGCAGGCAGAGGCTGAGCACCTGCCTCTGGGGCGCCCCTCTGGGCCCCTCGTCATCGGACCCCCTGCCCCTAACCCGGGTGGAGGCCTTGGCTCCAAAGCTAAACAAACTTAGCAGCAAGAGCAACGAATATCCAGCCCCCCAGGCCCCTCCCCCCCACAGGCCCTTTCTCACCCGGGGTACCCCCCCCCCCCCAAGTCAAGCCCAAGCACTGGAAGGGGAATTGCTGTCTCTCTACAAAATGCTGTGTGCGCAGCGCAGGTAGAGACTACCCTTGGCCAGCTTTCCCGGGGCGGGAAGGGCTGTGGATGGCAATGCACCAGCCATCGAGGGGGAGTGAGAGAGATGATGTGCTGCCACGGGGAATCCTGGGCCTCCATGGCACCTGGGGACTCGCTGGCCTTCCTGGAGCCTCACTTACACGACACCTCCTGGTTCTGCCATTTACTAGCACCTGATCTCTTTCCTCCTCGCTTCTCCATCGCTCTCAACTTGCAACTCCATCTCCAACCCCCTCCGCCCCTGCCGCCTCCCCCGCCCGCCCGCCCGCCCCCCCCCCCCCCCCCCCCCCCCGCACATTTTGTTCTAAAGTTGGTAGGAAGGCTGCAGACCCCCCAGGACCCCTTGGCCCAACACATCCTGCTTAGTAAGTGATGTGTGTGTGAGGAGGGTTCATGAATGTTGAATGTATAATAATGCTCACCAGAGCTGAGCTGTTAACAAGGCGCCCAGGGAAGAGCTTAGGGAGCGGGGCCTCATCCCCCTCCCTCAGTATCTGCAGGCAAATCAGAGGCGATTTCCAGCCTTTGCCTGCACCAGGAGCTTTCCGGCCTTCCCTTTGTATTTGGCATCTCACATCATTCTCCCTCTCATTCTCCCAAGTTGCCACTGGAGCCTGGCTTTCAGATACTAGTGGGAGCTTCTGCCCATTCGGGGGCACTTATCTTTCCCCTTCACCAGGGTCTGCTTGGAGCCACCCCCAAACTCTCACTCCCACACTCATTCTTGCAGCCAGAGTGAGGGACAGGAGACCCTGTACCCCCCAATGCAAGCTTCCCTCTGGCTGGGAGATAGTGGTTCATTTGGTTTGGTTTTCCTTTGAAGCCCAAAGAATTTGCTGTTACAATTTGTTGACCACATTGCAATAAAAGCTGGACATGATTCTCACTTTAGCATTTTAATTTTTTGGCAGCAGGCAGGAGCTTGACTCTTTTTGAATTGCTAGCTCAGCCATTTGAGGCTTGGGCAGGGAAGGAACCAAGAGATGGACCCCCAGACAGAGTCCCTCAAATCTCTGCTGGGACTGGCAGGCTCCTCACGGTCATGGCACAGAGGTGGAGAAGGCAGGCTCCCAACTGCCCCAGGCGTGGGTCTCCTTAGTTCTGTGCTTGGTGGGCGCCTTCCGGGCAAAACTGGCAGAGCACTGACCCCACTTGGTGCTCCCCCCTGCGATGCTCCCGTCTCCACTTGCTCCAACCGTCTGAGGAAAGGGACTGAGCTGTAGTTTCCTGGCCCCTTGGCCAACCAAGTAGAGATGAACGAGGCAGTGAGGGTGGAAGTGAGTCTGAACATTAGGGGTCAGGGAGATGAGGGAGGAGGAGATCTTGGTTGGGATGGAAGGGTCTGCACCATCCTCAAACTGGCAGTCATCTCCAAGGATGGATTTCTGGGCTGTCAGGGCCAGTCTCCGCAGCCACCTCACTCCCATCCTCTATCACCAGAGAAGAGCCACGTGGCTGCCTGGCTGCCTCTGAAGTCCTGCTCCAGTAGGCTGGGTCCTCCTGGACCCAGTGGGTGGATCCATGGGCAGGTGTGGGCCCCTCAGTTGGCCTTCACCCTCCTTTGAGGCCCAGAGCAAACCTTTCTGCCCACAGTGCCTCCTGCACGCCCCAGCACCGCCTTGTGCTGAGGTCTCCACGGCCCCGCAGCCTCCTCTCCACTCCCTGCCCCGCCCCTGCGCAGCTCCTTCCGAGGCCCGGAAGCTCCCGGTGCCAAATCCCGGCAAATCCCGCGGTTACTACGAGTTGGGCCAAGAGATTGCTTGCGACAGGTAAATGGGCTGCGGGTTGCCGTAATGCCAGGCGTATTTTCAGTTAATAGGGAGGGAAAATGAGGTGTCTGCAGCGATATTGGAAAGTACAAGATCGATGATCCGGCCTCGTGTCCAATCAGCAGCCTTTAATTGACTGTATTTTCTGGGTAATTGAGCCTCTCTTCCTCCAAATTGAAGTGGAAGATGTAACAATACATCTTGCCAGGAGGAATTACTCATTATTTCATAATGAAATTTTCCTTTTGCCAAGGTTTGCGGTTTGGCGCTGGGCACCGCTTCTCCCACTCCCCCCCCCCCCCACCCGTGCACCTGAAAACGGGTTTGCCCGCCTGCATCTGCAGCCACAAGTGGCCTGATACCTCCATGGGCGGGGGAGGGGGGAGGGGGGAGATAACCATGAATAAGACACTGCCCCTCCACGGGCGCAGCCATTTCACCTGTAAAATGAGAAGGCAGCGGGGCTGGAATGGTATTATCGTTACCATTTTTCAACGTGCTGAACGCCTGTTTAGCTTTGCCCCGTTTCCATCCCATTTTGCAGGTGGGAAAACAGAGGCTCCTGGTCTCACACAGCCATGAGTGGCCCACACAGCTTTGAGCTTCCCGCTCCCGCTTCCTCTCCCGCTTCCTCTCCCTTGTCCTGAGCCTCTTTGGGGCCCATAGGCCAAGGTCACCCCTCACAAAGTCTGACACCTCACTTCCCACTCCCACTCCCTGGGCTTCTCAGCCTAGTGGAACCAGGAGGGCAGGGTCTGGTAGCAAAGACCCGCGCTCCATCTCGGCCAGCCCAGCCCAGCCCGCAACACCAGCCACCCCGCAGCCCCAGTGCGTGCTCAGCGCGGCCCGTCGCTCGCTTGTTAGCGAGTGATTGATTGCCTTATTAAAGCGTGTTCTTGTAAGTGTGACCAAACTGATTGCATTGCATATGTTTGGGATAATGCTCATTTTAAACAACAGGATAAAGAGGATGAGCTCGGCAGACGAAATGATTCTGGCCAGCAGCTCCCTAACTCTGGCATTAAATTGCCCAGTTACATAGCAAATCACTTGGTTCCTCCACCCTGGTCCCCATTTTTTCCCTGGCCTGCAGTTTGATCGAATCCTGCAAGGTGGTGTGCCCCACGCGTGGCTTCTCTAGTGACCACATGGGCTCTGTCTTCCCAGCGGAGAACCCTGCAATCCCACCGCCCAGACATCCAGTCCTCCTGCCGCATCCCAGGCGGAGGGCAGAGGAGCTCAGAACCCATCCTTTCTCCCTCGGCCTCCCAGGGGAACGTGGCCCTAGGCCGGTGATGGCGAACCTTTTGAGCTCGGCGTGTCAGCATTTTGAAAAACCCAAACTTAACTCTGGTGCCGTGTCACATATAGAAATTTTTTGATATTTGCAACCATAGCAAAACAAAGACTTATATTTTTGATGGTTATTTTATATATTTAAATGCCATTTAACAAAGAAAAATCAACCAAAAAAATGAGTTCGCGTGTCATAGGTTCGCCATCACTGCCTAGGCCGTCACTGCAAATGGGAGCCCAGGTCCCCTCAGTAAATCGCACATCTCCCCACCCCACCCCCAGACCTTTCCCGAAAGTTTAAAAGATCCTTTTGTTTCCCAGGCTTTTGTTTCCCGCTCACTCGGTTGCTTCCATTATTCCTCCATCGAGAAAAGCCCCGCCACCATATGTCCGCCGAAGAGCAGAGCGTGGGTGTCACAGCGGACAGTTGTCGAGGATGGCCAGACGGACGGCATTCTCCAAGTGGGAAGAGCTTTTCTTTGGTAGCATCCTCTCCATGCGCATCGCCCCGAGCGAGAAAGGGAGGGGTAGGAGCTATGAGTGATGGGGAGGGAAAGGAGGTTGGGGCAAAAAATTGGGATTTTTTTTTCTAATTACTATACCCTCAACCAGGTTCTCTGTTTGTGCCTGGTGCCTAACAGACATTCTCAGCGGCCGTCACCCACTCCAGTCGACTTGCAGGGGAGCCAAACTGCTGGCAGATTGAACTTCCTGAGGGACACCTTTGGGATAGGCGGGCATTCTGATTTGTTCAAGATGCTGGAGGTCATCGGGACGCGTCAGACGCGATGCCACTCTTCGGAGGGTCATTTGCAAGTGCAAGCACACGCATTCGTTGGCAAGACGCAGCTAGAATGTGTCTGGATAAGCGACTTGATTCAAATGGCAAATTTCTTCCATCACTCAGCTCCTCCCTGGCTCTGCGGGGCAGGCGCGTCAGACTGCACTAGGGCGAAACCAAGGCCCAGCCCGCCATTTGTGCCAGCCTGAGGGACCCCCGAAATGTTCACCCTTGGGCGGGGGGCGGGGAGGAGGGGTGGGAAGCCAACCCAAAACGGGTGCTACCGTCTACAAAGCAAACAGAAACTCAAAGTCGTTTCCAAAATCGCCTTCTCAGCAAATAAGTGTGTGATATTCTGAGCCAGAGCAGGAGAGAGAGAAAGATTGCCACTTAAAAATAACATGAAAGCATTAAGTAATTATTTAAAACAAGGCTGTTTAGAAAAATATTTGTATTTATTGCAGCTGCTCAATTGGCCTCGTTAAAGTCGGCAAGCATTTAAATTGTGTTACAATCTCATTTAAATCCCCTCCGTTCCAGCAGGCTGAAGAGCTTGAATAGACCAATCACTTCATAATGATGATGAATGAGAAATTAATTCAGATACAAGCAAGACAATTTAGGCCTTCATCTGTTTAAATAGCCTTCCAATATTATTCGCGATTGCGGGTCACAGATTGAATC